AGCATGATTAGCATGTTTTTAACATGATTAGCCTGTTACTAGCATATTGCTGGCATAATTAGCATGTCGCTAGCATGTTTCTTACATGATAAGCATGTTACTAGCATGATTGGCCTGTGACTAGCATGTTGCTGACATTATTAGCATGTTACTAGCATATTGCTGGGATAATTAGCATATTGCTAGCATGTTTAGCAAGTTTCTTGCATGATAAACATGTTACTAGCATGATTGGCCTGTGACTAGCATGTTGCTGACATTATTAGCATGTTACTAGCATATTGCTGGGATAATTAGCATATTGCTAGCATGTTTAGCAAGTTTCTTGCATGATAAACATGTTACTAGCATGATTGGCTGGTGACTAGCATATTGCTGACATAATTAGCATTTTACGCAAGTGACTAGCATGTCGCTAACATGTTTCTTGCATGATTGGCTTGTGACTAGCATATTGCTGGCATAATTAGCATGTTACTAGCATGTTTAGCAAGTGACTAGCATGTTTCTTGCATGATTAGCATGTTACTAGCATGATTGGCCTGTGACTAGCATATTGCTGGCGTTACTGAAACCACACCTTCTTTCTTTGCTGCACATTTGGGCGGCATTATGCTAACATTTACACATAGTGAGGTAGATATGTGGAGGCGTGTTAGAACGAGCCGTGTATTGAAAATACAATTAGTAGGTTGTTTTTTGAAAACCATGAAACAGTAATGTTCCATAAGAAACGATATATACGCTATGCGTGGAAAGAGGAATGCACAGGATCTATAAAGAACATTCTGTTGTTTACACTACAGATAAAACACCAGAGTTTACGTGATCTAATTATTCAGGCAGTGTAAAGGATCAAGTCTTACGTCATTCGTATTCTTCAGATTTTCTGTAATATGCAGAATATCCTATGCACATTAGCGAAGAACATAACATTTATATTAGCAGAATAACCTATAAACTCTTCATTCCTGACATATCAAATAAGATTACGGTCAAATTATCTTAGTCTATAAAGAACATTCTGTTGTTTACACTACAGATAAAACACCAGAGTTTACGTGATTAATTATTCAGGCAGTGTAAAGGATCAAGTCTTCATTCGTATTCTTCAGATTTTCTGTAATATGCAGAATATCCTATGCACATTAGCGAAGAACATAACGTTTATAATAGCAGAATAACCTATAAACTCTTCATTCCTGACATATCAAATAAGATTACGGTCAAATTATCTTAAACAACATTATTCTTTTTTAAATCCCACATGAAATGAAAGAAACTGACCGTTTTCGATTCAGAAATTGATTCGGAGTTTTTAATGCTCCTAAAATAGTTGTTTTGTTCAGGCTACTTCTGTAGTACTTTTCCTAATTTAATGCTTGCTGTAATAATAAAAAAAGCCGAACCCAGGATCCGGCTGAAGGCGGCATCAGTATTAGTCTGGTCATGTGATCTCAACACGTCTCCATGTCAAACAACAGCTCTTTAATCAGGACACTCGTGTCGCGTTCTTCAGCAAATACCCTGCAGTTCTGCAGAGCTGGGCATTTAGTTGACAGACGCTGTAATTGTATTTAAATACAGCTTCAGTTCTCGTCTGGAGATGTTCAAGTGGGGTTTACATGTACATTTATGGACATAAAACTTCCCAATTAATAACAGGAGGTTTATACACAAACGTGCATTAAATAGATTCGTATCTTCAGCGTAAAACCCCCAAAAGACTGCGTTTATAACACAAAGAGAAACCGTTAGCATCACTGTCTTAGCACATTAAACCAGCATTTGAAAATGCTGCAACACTTTCCCCGAGCGCCTGGGGATTTGATTTAGCTTGTCATTTGTTGAAATAAATATAAGAAGTACAGTGAGTCCGTGACTGTTCGCTGAATGTGACCCACACTCCTCCGAGGCCGTGGAAACATGAGTATTTATAACGACAGCAATTATACTTTGTCATTTAAAAGTTTCCAACAAAGAAATGGATCGTTACCTGCGCAACTGGTAAGTTAACCTTTAAGTTCTTGGTTTTATTTGTTTAAATCTATGGTTTAAATGGTGTTTAGTGTCTTAGCAGTTAATGCATTTGCAAATGATTTGAGCCATTTTATCCCGCATCACTAAAGCTCAGAATCGATTGAAATCGGTATTTATAAATGTATTCAAGTATGTATAGCCATACCAGTAAAGCTTGTGCTATTTACCAGACATTTATGTTCTTAACATTTAACAAATCAGATTATACAGTATAAATAAATGTTTAAAAGTTGAATGTTTGTATTATGGGATCAAACTAAGCACCATATTTCACATGATGCCAATTAAGTTAATAACTGATTTGTGTCTTTAAAGAGAATTTTCCTGGTGTTTTGGCAAATATTACAACCTGACTAACTTCTCAATCTGTTTCTTTTCAGGATAAAAGTGAAGCAGCTGGAAGTTTAGTTTGGTGTTTTGATGTCCAATTATTAATTTTAATGCGCATTCATTGTATAGAGATGCTGGAACCTACCTGTTGCTGAGATCCTGGATTGCTGGCCTGCTTTAAAATGGAGTCAAATGTAAAAATATTTTTCTTAGCACACTTGAAAATGTTTTATATTTAAAGGGATAGTTCACCCAAACATGAAAATTATGTCATTAATTCCTCAACCTCACGTCGTTCCAAACCCGTGAAACCGTCGTTCATCTTCAGAACACAGATCTTTTTAATGTCATCCGAGAGCTTTCTAACCCTGCATAGACGGCAACGTAACTGAAGTGTTGCCAGGCACAGAAATGTAGTAAAGACATCGGTAAAATACTCCATGCATGCTCGGAGCCTTGTTTACAAGCAGAGGAATGCACATGCACTTAATCTGTGTTCTGAAGATGAACGAAGGTCTTACGGGTTTGGAACGAGTAATTAATGACAGAATTTTCATGTTTGGGTGAACTATCCCTTTAAAGTAATAGTTTGCCCAGAAATGAACATTTGCCATTCATTTACTCTCTCTCTGGCCATGCAAGAAGTAGCTGATGTTCTTTCTTCAGCAGAGCAAAAGATCATTTTTAGCTGTACTCATGGTGCTTGGTGATTCATAAAATGCAGCTCAACGGGAGCCGTCACTTTGCGAGTCGAAAAACATAAACAAGCAACACAAAATGAATACCCGTGGTGGCACAGCAGTCTTGAGCTCCAGACTCCTGGTCATAGTGTTATAATGTGTCGTCTGTATCTGATTTTTGACTTACAAAGTGGTGGCACCTGTTGACTTGAACTTTATGAATCACCAAGGACCACAAGTTCAGTTAAAAATCATCTTTAGTGTTCTACTAAAGAAAGAAAGTAGCCTACATCTTGGTTGGTCGAAGGATGAGTAAACTGACAGCAAATGTAAAACTTTTTCGGTGTGTCAGGTCTTTTACTTATTTAATACTATAGACTTATTTGTGTAGTATTTAATTTGCAGAACATATTCTCAGTTGATTCTCTGGAATGGTATAAGTTCCATTCACAGTACCATGTGTTCATCCACTCATAGAAATTACTGTTTAAAAAAACAAAACAACATTGCTCTATTTTGATGTTTCTTTTAGATTTTATTCTAGTATTACTTTTATATTTCTAAAGTTACTGTTAGATGTGAATTTGGGAAGTGTTCCTATGTTAGGGAAGTGTTTACAGCTGGGAGATATCCTGATATCCATATTGTCCACGTCTAAAAGTGATTTAACAGTTATTATCTTTCTCATTTCTCAGTTTTGGAGAATATATTTCCATTTGACAAACAATTTAATGTTGATGTTTTGTTAATGATTTGTGGTTACTTCATAAAATGGTAATTTGCATTTAAATTGTCTTCTAACCCATTTTTCTTATTTTATTTTATAATAAAGTGTATAGTTATTTATTAAAACTAATGTTTTTACGAAGGTAAACTTAATTGTAATGTAACAAAAATGTTTAAGTCATCTTTATTTAATTTGAATTGGTTCTGTGAACCCAAAAACTCCTTGTAAAGTGAACTTGATCAATAATGTTGTAGTAACTTGTAAGATTAAGTTAATATCAGTTAAAATGACTTAGTAACATTTACTTAAAAAATTATGTTTCTTTAACTTATAAAATTTAGTTAATATAACTTAAAAATTTCGATGTAATCAGTTTCAACTATTTTTTTGAGTTATATTAACTTATCTGGTTTTACAGTGTAGAAAAGGAGCCAATGTTTTATTAAAAGCTTTATAAATCTCTGCAGATAGCCCATCGGTACCGGGGGATTTATTACTTTTTAGATTATTGATAGAGACGACCAGTTCTGAAAGACTAATAGGTGCATCACACAGACTACAATCTTCATCACTGATTTCGTTTATGTGAGATAAAGAATCAAAAAATGTCGTGGCCGATTCCTGGCAGAATTTAGAGGAATATAAATCATTATAAAATCTGGCACAAAAATCTGCAATTACCTTAAAGTCATCAGTTACATTCCCATCAATACACAGCTGCTGCACAGAATTTTTAATTCGCTGCCTTTCCAGCCTAACGAAAGAGTTCTGCTCACCCTCCTCTAGCCAATTCCACCGAGATCTGGTGAAGGCACCTTCCGCCTTCTATTCTCTAAGTGATGTTTCTGATCTATGAGCTCAATTCTCTCTGAATCTGTAAGAGCGTCCATTTTTTTTATGTGATAAAGCAGTAATTCTAGCCATAATTTGGTCTTCCTTATTTTTTCTAGTTTTTGTTAACAAACTACAATATTTCCGACAATACTTCCCAATTTCAAATTTAAGAAGTTCCCAATTACTGCTAAATATATTCTCTTTATTAGCTTTATCCCAATAAAAGGAAATTAAGTTGTCAATTTTAGTTTGAACTTCATTATTATGAAGAATTGAAGTATCAAGTTTCCAATATGAGGGCCTTTTACTCAAGATAAAAATGGCCTTATGGTCAGAAAACAGAGAGGGAAATATATCGGTCTTAATATTTGATAATTCTGCTGAAGTTAACCAAAAATCAAGTCGGGATTGATTAGAAAACGAATTATTGATCCAAGTGAACACTTTTTGCAAGGGATGTTTCTCGCCACACATCAACAACAGAACATTTTTGCATAAAGACTAACAAATAGTCCGAATTAGCATTAGTAGGTTGAGGGGGAAATCTATCTAGGGTTTTATTTAAAACAACATTAAAATCACCACCAGAAATTAAGGAAGAGTGTTCCTAATTTATAAAAAAAAAACGTATCTTTTGGTGAATTATACCCATAAATATTGGCAATAACATGTCAAACTGTAAAGCAAGTAAAATGTAGTGACCATTAACATCACATTCAGTAAACAAAACCTTTCCACTAAAATGATTTTGTAAGATACAAACTCCGGCAGAATGTTCATTTCCATGAGACATCCACACTTCTAACCCCCATTGTGACCGCCATAATTTGACATCTTGTACAGTTGAATGAGATTCTTGCAGAAAGCAAAAGTCTGTGTTAAAACGTTTAAGATACAAAAAAACTGCCTTACGCTTAAGAATGTTACGTAGCCCTCTACAATTTAAAGAAATAATAGAAAAGGACATAAGAAATAAAAAAATAAAAGATCAACAAGAGAACGAGACCTAAGAACAAGTAAAACAATGAAGTATCACTGTAACAGAGAACCCAACTGCTCAGAAACTTCATGAAAAGGGATGAGGACAACAATCCCTTTATATAGCTAGAATTAAACGAACCATTTAAGTACAACAACGTCAAAAAGGGGGGAGAAAAGAGGGAAAAACTGGATCAAAGTGAAGTCCTAGAGATGCTGTGGTCCCCACAACAATCCCAGAATCACCTCAGCAAAAGCAATCAGGGTGGATCCAGTCAAATCCATTAACTTTTAGACTGGAGGAAATATTTCCGTACCATCTGTAAATGCGCGTCCTCCGACGAAAAAAGCCCAAAAAGAGAACTTTTTCGGGCTTTTTCAACTGCAGGCCATAACTTAATCCTCCTCGCTTTATCAGCCGGTGACAGGTCTTCCGTGATTTGCAGCCGATTCTCAGTCAGAAAACCAGCATCCTTGGCGGCACGCCAAACAGCATCTCGGTAGAAGCGCGAGGTGAGTTGGAAGATAATCCCGCGGCCTTTATTGTGTGGGTTAGGACGGCCAAGACGATGTGTCACATCAACGACATCGGGGAATGTAGCAGAAGGCGTTGACACACATCGATAACCTCCTGACGGACATTTTCTCGTTCTTTCTCTGGAATTCAATCCGAGAGCTTTCTAACCCTGCATAGACGGCAACGTAACTGAAGTGTTGCCAGGCACAGAAATGTAGTAAAGACATCGGTAAAATACTCCATGCATGCTCGGAGCCTTGTTTACAAGCAGAGGAATGCACATGCACTTAATCTGTGTTCTGAAGATGAACGAAGGTCTTACGGGTTTGGAACGAGTAATTAATGACAGAATTTTCATGTTTGGGTGAACTATCCCTTTAAAGTAATAGTTTGCCCAGAAATGAACATTTGCCATTCATTTACTCTCTC